TGTCCTCAAGTCCAGTGTGAAATATCTCAACATTGGTTGGATTGCTAAAAGATTTTGTACAGACATTCATTGTCCCAAGAGAATGTATGACTTCCCTGACTTTTCTTCTAGCAACATCATGAGGCTCAAATATGTGGGTTTAAGTGAAATATCTCAACAGCTATTGGCTGGATTGCCAGACATTAATTTCCCCGTCAGGATGAATTGTAACTGCTCTGTTGATTTTTTTGATTTTTCATCCAGCGCCATCATCAGGTCACAATTTCTGTGTGTCCAATACTTTTGGATTATGACTAAATAACAGCAAAAGTAATGACATTTCCATTGTGCAGTAGTAAGCAGGCTAACAATCCCATACTACATACTGATTATCACACAACTGTGTTTTGTATGTCCATCCTAAGTACAGTTTTTGTGCTGATGATGCACACTATTCACCCACAATGCAATGTACAAAGGAAATGGAGAAGCTGCTTTAAAAAATAAATAAAAAATTATATTTAAATTTAAAATTAGGTGGTGGTAAAACAGCTCCAAAATGTTTTATGGAAGAAAAAAGAACATAGTGAAGTTTAATGAACAGTTGCTGATAAAATGGTGATGATGGTTTATTTATTTATTTATTTCAGTAATGTTTTTGGAGCACAGCTTGTTAAAAGTTGAAGGATCTTATGTTTTTTTCTAGCTGTGTTGATCCTTTTTTTGAAGATACGCGTTTGACCAAAACGAACAAGTTCAGGTGCTCGTTGCTCAAAAACCAGCAAGGTATTGCTTATCCTAGAAGTGCATCTGTTATAACAAGCAGCCTTTTTTTCCTGTGTGGGATGGAATGAGCTCGCATATAAATAGAAACATCTGTCAGTCCTATTTTTATACACATCAGTAGCCTACCTTCCCTCTGTTTCAATTAAAATGTCTGAAAGTATTTCTTTCATAAGGGTCATGATGCATAGGGAAGCTTAAGTGATCGTTAAAAGCATTCATAAATCTCCAGTAAAACACTTTCTGGAGCCTGAATTATCAAGGAGACATCAGCTACAAATTGCCGCCACAGTCCCATGTATTTTAGGAAAGGATTGTTGGGACTCATTACACATTCTTTTTCAGAGAGAGCGACATAGAAAGAACAGAAATTGGGACTCATCTTGCTGCTCACTGATGTCCCTTTGCGTTGGAGGTAAAAAGAGTCTTCATGAAAAAGTTCTCTTACAGGATAATTTCTGCTAAATCTTTGATGCATTGTGTGCTGCAGCAGGCAGTGTGTCCTCTGGTCTTTGATTCAGGAAGGAAGTGAGTCTCTAATCCCCCCTGATGATCAGCATTGTTAAAAAGGCTTTTAGTATCCATAGTCACCAGCACATAGTCTCTCCCAGATCTTGGACTAGTCTCTGTGATATCAGTAGAGCCCAAGTGATGTATTAAGTGACAGGTGTTACGAATGGTTTTAGACAAACTTTTCTGTGTATTGCAGCTGTCTTTGCGCTGCCTTGCACCTCGGACAATCTGCCGTCTCTGTCACCCACAGTAATTAATTTCTGTGCGATAAGATGCACTGACTTGACATCTTGTGTGAAAGCAAGCAGAATGGAGAAACCTTTTTCTTTGCCCCTCTCTGTGTCCCATTTCTCTCTTAATTAAAATGATAAATGCTAAATCCCAGCAACATCCGGTTCCCTGTTGATTTTGGCTACTCTGACGCCGGCAAAAATGTATTTCCAAATTTGATTTGCTCATATTTGTCGATCATGGATAATTCAGTCATTTGTCTTCCTTATGGCAGCCCAAATTGCCTGTATAACAAATAGACTGCACAACACTGCACAGTTGGCAGTAACACCTCCACAGCACATTGACAGTACTCTATATTAGTCCCAACCAATTTAAATCACCTTCCAGATTATATTGTTTTATTTTCTGGTGAGGGAGCAATGATGTGTGTACACTGAAAAAATGTTAACTTAATATATCTAAGTTCTCACATTATGACTCACTGTCTGCTTGTTTTTGAAGTCTATAAAGGCCCTTCACATTTTCTTCTTTTTCTCATTCTCTCTTTACCTGTCTCTACCTCAACGCGAGTGGATTTACCTCCCATTGTTTGAGGACGTTTCAAACATCCAGCTGACAATGATTCATGTGCCAAATCCAATACATTTCAAATAAACCAGGATTAAACAGACTAAATCCCATTTGATGGGGAATAAAAATGATGTGAAATGCTTTTACAAAGGCAGTGGCAAACTTAATTTTGTCAACTCAGTCTCCATAGTTATTGACATGGCACATGTGAAGCTTTGTAACCCTCCCTCCTCTCTCATTTCATCTTATTTTCCTCCAGCTCTTTTCCACACTGATAGTGCAACCAGGAACCGTTGTCCTCGTTTCAACAAAATATATTATTTTGCAATCTCTGTCTTCATTTCCTACCTGCTGCTCTTCAAAGGCTTTCAAAGTCCTTCAAGAGGGGCAGCAGAGGAAAAAGACATAATTTATATTCTGCAGTTAACTAATGGAGGAGAAGCAGGTGGTCTGATGCGTCTGTATCTCTATTGTGGGGATTTGTGGTGAAGAGGGATGAACAGCATGATTCCCTTTGATATAACTCTGCGTGTGTGTGTGTGTATGCGTGTGTGTGCGTGTGTGTGTGTGCGTGTGCATGTGCGTGTCTTCAGGGGTCCATAGAGGAGCGGCTGAAGCAGCTCCAGGATGCACATAGAGACTTTGGCCCCGGATCGCAGCACTTCCTTTCCAGTAAGAGTCCTCTTCTGCTATTTGAAGTCGGTACCTCATGTCGCACCAATCTGTGCCATGCTGTGCCAAGGCACCATCTTAAAGTGTGGGGGGGATGAAAAGAAGGTTAGGTGTGTTACAGTTTTGTTGTGACGAGGCGTTAAAACGCTGCCTATACGTGTGTTTGTGCTTGTGTGTTTGTTTGTATTTGGGTTACAGATGGAGCTGGCAGGCTTTATTCGTCTGTCTTCATCAGTTCCAGCTCACTGTTGCGATAAGCATCCCCAGTGATGCTCATCACAACAGTCATTGCTCTCATTTGAGCAGAGATACATGTTTGTGAATTCTGTCTTTTCTTTTACCTGCTGCTCTTCAAAGTGTACAGAGCAGGGGGCGGGGTAGCAGGGGGCTGACAAATGTGATTGCCTTTGCCTAGTTTAAACTGATGAAGAAGTGGAAAGGCCGTGTGTGGCAGGGCACTCTGTGCAAGTGTATCTGAAGTGGTGCTGTGTACTTGTGTGTTTCCAGTGTCCTCACCAGCCCCATCCAGTTTTACTGCTGTCACGCTGGCTCAGAAATGCCACACTTGGCCTTATATAGCATTACTCCACTGCCAGCACAGCCCACTGCACCCTGCAGGAACGTCTGGACGTACTGTGTGGCTTTTTATGCACCAACATGCTTTTATTTTGTTTGATATTGCACACTGTAAAATGCTATAAAGCACATGGTGCTTATTGTTCATAGGTAGGTGGAATGTGACCGAGTACATTTACACAAGTATTGTATGTCATTATTATTTTAGGAACTTGTACTTCACTTAACTTCAGAGGGAAATGTTGTACTTTTTACTCCACTATACATTTATGTATATTTATCTAGCTGGAGCTCCTTGTCACGTTCCAGATGTCTGTGAGTGGTTTCCCCTCTAAACCTCTGAGTCAATTTCATTTAAATAACTGCTTGAGGCCCAAGGAGGCAAAACTCTCCAATATTTACCCCAAAAAAGCAAAGATTAGAGAGTAGTAAAAAAAAAATAAAATGTAGCAGAACTTTGTCCTTGTTATTTACAAACCCATTTAATGACACACCCCCAGATTTGTCTTGTAACTCTGTCGAGTAGTCCACCCTCTTAGGTTGTGGAACAGATGGACTAAACTACCTAACTAAAATGTAATGTAATGTAAAAATGATAATATGATATATAATATGTCAGTCAGAGGGGACATTCTGTATATTAAGTACTTTTACTTTTGATACTTTAACTTCATTTTACTAGTAAAAATAATGAGTTTTACTGAAGTAGGATTTTGAATGCAGGACTTTTACTTTATTACATGAATTCTTTATCATGGAACGATTGGTACTTTTTCCTTTATGTAAAGGTCCTGAATGCTTCTTCCACCTCTGAATCTGATCTACTTCAGTCTTTGTGTGTGTGTGTGTGTGTGTGTGTGTGTGTGTGTGTGTGTGTGTGTGTGTGTGTGTGTGTGTGTGTGTATTTTTCACATATGCAGATCAACAACATACAAGTCTGCATTGTGCCATCTCATAATACAGTAATGGACAACGACATGCATGTGTGCATGTCTGTGTGTGTGTCTCAGTGTGTGGTTGCATGTATGCCTTCTGTAATGCCTCTGGACTAGTGTGGTTCTTGCTTCCTCCAGTGCAGTCTGTCCTCTTTGATCTTCAACTGAACCTCCTGTGGTTAAAACGCTACACTCACCCTGTCTCACCGGCTCCTCTACCTCCCTGTATTCTATTAGGCCGTGCCAAACAAACCAATGCTCTGTGGAAACTCGACACAATAGACCTGTCCCTTTAGCTTTACTGCACCTGTTGATCACCAGAGCAGCTCTGTTAAGACGATCTGAATGGACATGGTGTGTGGACACGCTGTCAGGGGCATTTTGCACAATGGCTTTTCGTGCATGACATGCCTGTTTTGAAACTGGTTTTGTGTCTGTGTGTTTGCGCAGGTTCAGTGCAGATACCATGGGAACGTGCCATCTCGCCAAACAAAGTGCCCTACTACATCAAGTAAGTGGAAGTTCAGGGTCAGTATCTGCGCTGTGGGAATGTATGTACGTTTTCCTTGGCATTTATGGACTTATTGTATGCCTGTGAAGCCCATTAATTACATTCTTTTTCACCAAAGATTAACTGTGACTGTAATTTCCTCTCCATAATTTCCTGTAGTATTATTCAAAGTCTATTAGTTTGATTGACTGGCATGATTTCTTTATTTTTCCAGTTGTGACTTCTCAATGAGAGACAATGTAAAACAGCTTCAAATGATGCAGTTTCACCAATACTTAGGAGTCATGCTTCATGCTTTGAGAGCACAAACAATACCACAATCGTTCTCTCTGTTCCTGGAGTTTGTTTTATCTATAGTCTATGATAAATGAGGGTCTATTAGAGCACCTGCTATTTCTTTATTTTATTGTAACCATTTGCATTTGTAACAAAGGCAAACATAGATTATTTGTAATCACCCGACATTCTACAGTTCCTGTGAATTCCAAACAAAATCTGTAATCTGTCTGTGTGCCATTATTCTCATAGCTCATGACTTGACTCATCTCAGCCTGCAAAGCTGTTGTTTTTAATCTATAAATGTGTCATTAGTACAAGCAGATCCAGCAGAGTAGAATTAACCCTATCATCTGTGCTTTAAGCACAGCTCGACTCACTCATACACACTCAAAGCTCTTTCTGCTGCCCAAACATTTGTACAGAGTTACGGTTAGAGAGCAGATAAATACTAAATGATTCAGAGAGGAACTCTATTGAGCTACCATGAACCCTATTTGCCTGAGCACTCATCTGTTTATCTATTTACCTCATCAATACTATTTCACCTTATTTCACCAGTGTGCTGCTGGTTTTATCAATGAACTCTGCTGCTGTTGTCTCGATGTGTGTGTGTGTGTGTGTGTGTGTGTGTGTGTGTGTGTGTGTGTGTGTAGGGGATGGTGTCTTTATTTACTGTGCAAGCTTTTGTACAGTTTGTTCCTCTGCTGACTATGAGTATTTATTTTCTTTATCATTTGCAATACAACCTCTTGTTTTAGTCTGTACAGTTCTTTATGTGCTACATTACTGTACTGATGGGGGTGGGAGTAGTATCTGAGTAGCACTCCACTGCGTACCAATCAATGAGCGCTTGCACAGGTAAAACAATGAGTGCTGTCCTAAAAGGCCCCTGGGTCCTGGCAGACTTCCTGCTTTGGGGATTCTCATTCATTTTGCTGCGCTAGTCATTTTTTATTGGATCTATTTTTTCATGTACAGTTTCAGAATGTGCCAATAGAGTTAATAGTGTGATGGGAAGGTGGTGTATGGTTTTCGATACACATATACAGGTTGGGATTAGCAGTCAGTGCTTTAAAAAAGAATAAATCTGTAAAGAATAAGAAAATAAATAGGAAATACAAACAGGAATAAATAAAAGGATAAATAAGCAAATAAAACATGTGGAAAGAATGCGTTTCCTTTTCTTTTGCTTTTACCCTATTACTAGCAATAACAGTTGTTAAAAGCCTTTTACCAGTTGCTATTGGCAAAAAGTAAAAGCAATAAATAAAAGCAAAAGCATTTTTTTTTTATTTACTCATTTATTCTTTTATTTATTCCTGTTCATATTTCCACATGTATTTTCTTATTCTTTTACGACTTATTTTTTATGTCATTCCTATGACTCCATCTGTCTCCAGCAGAACAGTAGTGGAAAGTAACGTTGATAACTGAACCTGTCTCCTTTATCATGTTGCCATACGTCTGCTCTTTACAGGCCTGGAATCTCTTGTAGACAATGGCCGCCGTATCCAGCGCTCTCATTTTTCCCTTTCTCTCTCACATAGTCCCCTCTGATCTCACTCCTTTTACTGTCTTGTCCTACCCACCTGTTTCTGCTCCCTCGGCTCATTTGTGCTCCATTTTGCCTTGATCTTTCTGACCTGAAAATGCGCACCTCCATTCCTGCCTGCTTCACAAATTCTTCTGCCTTTGTTTCATTTTTCTGTCTTCTCCCAGCCATCAAGCTCAGACAACATGCTGGGACCATCCAAAGATGACAGAACTGTACCAAGCCCTCGGTGAGTAAGGAGACAATTAAAGCATCCTCAGAGTCGTTCTCCTACGCCCAGGACCCCTACTGGGCTCCAGCAGCACCACCAGCAAGGCACCACTGGGCCCTGTCACAGCTCATTAAGGTCCCTGTATTTCAAACACCTTAGGGACTACATCGCTACTGTCATTAACCTACAAGGCCCAATTTGCCAGTACCGTGATTGCTTTTCGCTTAGCCTTTAATTAATTGTGATTAAACGACATCATGTGTTTTACTGTTAATCTGATCTGACACTGGGAGCTTTCAGGGGAGATATACACGCCGTCGCATACACATGCTCCCCTAGACACACACATGCATGTGCACACACATACACAGATAACAGTAGTAACACAGTACACTACTAATGACTTCTGCAAAGGCGTGATAAACAGGGGGAGATATAGTGATGTCTAATTCCTCAATGGCAGGGTGGAGTGGTGCAGGATGGGTTTGTTTTCTCTCATCTTTTCATTTAGTCTAATCTCTTTCTATCGCTCTCTCGCTCTCCATTAGCGGATCTGAACAACATCAAGTTCTCAGCATACAGAACAGCCATGAAGCTGCGACGGGTTCAGAAGGCTCTGAGATGTACGTATGGTTTTTCAGTCATGGTATTTTCTGTCTCCCGCACGGGAATAGCTGGTTAAGTGATATGCTGTTATCCTGCGCCATCGGTAATCCGCTATGACAAGCCCTCTTCGGGAATGAGATATAACGATTAGTTGTGGCACATTTCTTTATTCAGTTGTCGAAAGAATCACCGCTCCCCTCTGCACTACTTGGAAATGTAGTTGAGAATATTCTTTGTATTCTCCATTACTGTTGGATTTGAAATGCAGCAATCAAAAGTATTGATAAAAGAGCCACTAGAACCACTCAACTACCGGTTTCCTGCCTCATTTTCATCAGGGACTGGATCGTTGGTTTGCGAGGTAATTAAAGCTATTAATTGGTCCATTTGAGTTACAAAAGAGAATGCAATTAGTTTTTGCTGCTTGGTTGAGGCTTGAATTTGTGCCCCGTCAGGGTCACAGCACTTGTTATATCCTACAGGGGTCACACACTCTCACTATCTGCCTATTTCACATTCTTTGCTCTCTCGCTTTTTCACTACCTCTAAGCTGCTCTTTCTGTCTCTGTGCTTTCGACACCTTAATCTCATCCATCTTCCATCACCTGCAGTGCTCTAACTCTCACTGGCCCCGGATGAGCCCACATTTGCCACTGCCACTTCTTCGTGTCCACCCTCGTTTCCTTCTCCTTCTCTGCCTTCTTTTGCAACCTTTCACCCACCCTCTCTTCCCTCCATTTCCCGGGTTTCTGTAATAAAAACTCTGCGTACTTGATCCACTGTGAAAAACCTCTTTCATTGACTCCCCCTCTTTCTTTTCTCGTGCCCGCTTTCTTATCTCACCCTCCTCTGGTCTACTAGTTGATATTGTTCCCGAATTTAATTGCCAGGCTGCCTTGATAACCACGGAATTCTTACTCTTTCTCTCTCCACACTTTGTGAATGATTGAGCAGCGCTGTATAAGAGCCCATCAGAAATACATTTTTAGGTGATTCCCTCCCAACCCTGAGAATATTCCTCTTATCTCCTCTCTCTGTTCTACCTCATTATCGTGCTATCCAATTATACCTGGCATCAACGGACACCCTTTTAGCTCCACTCCAAGGGATGGACCATCAAATTAGTTTAGAAGAGCGAAATCAAATTTGTGTCACTGCTCTTGAAACATCTGCTAGGGCGTAAGTGGGCAAAAAGGGTGAATAAGCTCCTCTGTCGCTTGTGCTCTCATTTGCTGAGGTGAGGATTATGATCCTATTCTGTGTATGGGTGTGTGTGTGTGTGCGTGCGTGCGTGCGTGCGTGCGTGCGTGCGTGCGTGCGTGCGTGCGTGCGTGCGTGTGTGCGTGTGTAAAATGAATGTGAAGTCATGTATGTAGGAACATGCCTGTCTACACTTGAATATGCCTCAATTTATCCATTTACCTTATTTCAAACCATATCAAAAAATAAACTGTCTAAATCTCACACATGCATATTGCACACACAACTTGCATCGCATCAAAAAGTACATGCAGAGCTAAATAGAGATGAGTTTGTTGTCCCCAGGTATCTGTGTTCCTTGATACCTCTCACTGTGTGTCTTAAGTGGATTTAGTAGCGCTGAGCAGCCTTGTGGAGGTGTTTCGGGAGCAGGAGCTACAGCAGGGGGAGCACGTGATGGACGTGGTGGAGGTGATTCACGGTCTGACGGCTCTGTACGAGAGGCTGGAGGAGGAGAGGTCCATCCTGGTCAACATTCCACTTTGCGTTGACATGTGTCTCAACTGGCTGCTCAACGTGTACGACAGGTGGGTAAGCTGGTAAGATGTTTCCTTGAGGAAATGAGGGAAGTAATTATTAAAACCTGCTTGTGTTGAAAGCTGAATCAATTATGTTTTTGAAACAACACAGCTTTCATGTACTATACCTCTGTCTCATCGAGTTAGTGTCTGTGTATCCAGCAGACACAGAGCAACATGAGTATTCATTCGGAGTTGTGTTTCTTGCCACCTGACAGTCAAATAAGCCTTGTTGACCTGGACGGCTACTTAAAAGGCAATTTTACACATCAGAGTCTACAACTCTTTCGGAGTGCTACTACATATGTGAAAAAAGTTGTATAAAGCCCTGAGAGGGAGCTGTACAAAGTTGCTCTTTACTGTATTGCTGTTTTTGTACAACAATAACTATGATAGCTCTTTGTTGTAAATAAAGAAAGTTTGGGGAAAAAAGACTTCAGGTTTGAAAAATGAAAAACATCTCGGGGTCTGGAAGGAAATGAGTTTACCAGACGTCACAAGCTGCTCATCTGTGCTTGCAGCTTGAGGCCACATTAGCTGCTACTAGCATAACACACCCGAAACTCTGACTGAACTGTCAACAGTGGCATTGTGCATTCAGCAGTGGTAATGTAAACACTAGATTTTGACAAGGGAGAAGAATATGTGGAATAAAAAAGACAACATCTCTGGTTCTGCTGCGTCAGTTTTGATACATTTTGAAAAACTGTCCGTCGTGACTCGACTCTGATGTTAAGTTGGTGGAAAATCTTAGTAAGTAACACACTCATGTTTGTCATGTAGTGATCATAAAGTTCCATACTATAGCAGCTTTTCAGGAGATTTCATACCAATGCCAGGCGAACATATAAATAAAGTAGTGCCACATACAGTATTTATCTCTCAGTTTGAGCTTATAGCCAGCAATGGCAGCTGTGATCTGTGACTGGAAGAGAAATTGAGCTTTTACACGGACTCTATTGAGTATAATGGTATTCACCTGCAGTGAATCAGTTTTGGTCATGTTTTTATTACTTCAGATATGACTGACGTTGTAAATCTGGACTATAACCTTCCCTCTGGTGGTTCCTGTTCCTATTGTCTTATTTAATACTTAATGAGCATTAAATTTCTCTAGAATATCATGAAATGCTAGAATTGAGTGTGTCCTGTAAGTTAGCATCTATGACCGTGATAAATAACATGACGGGTTTGTATCAGGTTTAGAAATGCTGCAGAGCCAGGTTTAGCAGTGCTAAGGCCTTTTTCATATTATATTGGGTCATAAGAAACAGTGGTAGTATAAAAATAATCGAGCATAAATACATATCATATACACACACTGCATAATGAACAAAGAATGGATATTTGTGATCTCATGCTACTATAAACAATTACTATAAAAGCTATTTTGTACAAATCCTCAGAGTCCTAGAACAGAGGTCTGTCTGCAGATTGATGTAACCAGTTCAATGGCTTGTTGTACAGATATCTGTAAAGAGCCACAGCATGGCTAAAGCTCCAATAACAATGTCCAGGCTGAGGGCCAATCATCCCTTCTGAGACACAGCGGAAACAAATCCTCTTTCACACTAAAATTCTCCCCAGCTTTGCTCCTGATTGACTATTTTCTGCCATCTTCAAAAAGCAAGCACCAAGCACAGACACAAAAATACAGGAATATACCCACAAGTGCTATAAATGTGGTTGGTAGCTCTTAACTATTTGCTCCTAATGAGAGACAATCAGAAACTTTACCCTCTGCATATTTTTCAGTAATTGCTTTTTGTTTTCCAATAAATAGCAGCAGTGAATCTGAATGAGGTGTGTGTGTGTGTGTGTGTGTGTGTGTGTGTGTGTGTGCTTGTGTGTCCATTTTCATTTGTGTGTGTTTGTTTGTGTTTATGCGAGTGGATTGCATTATAGTATATCACCAAGTGTGTATACTCATGTGTATTTGTGTGTGTGTGTGTCCTCCAGAGGCATGTCACACTAGCAGGGTTAGCAGGAGTGACGTGTCCCCTGAGGAGCAGCACAGGGGTGCATATTGAAGATGGCATGCGGCACACAGCAGGAAGTGTGTGTGAAAGGTGCTGACAGCCAGTCGTCCCCATGTGCTCTCCAGCTTCTCTGGACCCACACCGGCCCTAATTATGGCAGAGGAACCTCAGTAATGCTCTCCTCATGACTTCTCATGTTTCTCCACGTGACTCCAATATTCTCGACTCTAATGGTCTGGCCTGAGTAATGTTTCACTTCATCGTGTTTTGACCTGTGGGTGAATTAAAAAACTTTGCCTGTAATTTGCTTTTGAACACATTCAAAGAAACATCCAGCTCTGGAAATTTAACTCACTCTTTTAATTCAATTTTATACTTCACTGATCTGATGTTCTCAGATGAATGTGATGTTATTGATTCCTCACTTAATGATTCAAATGTTAATTCGATAAACCTGTGCTTTCTGGCAATGCTTTTCAGCTCAGCACTAAATTTCTCCTGGCTGTTTTGGCACCGGAGCTGTTAAATCCTCACAGGCCCAGTGATGATGCGTCTGCCTCTCAGATCCAGAGTTTCCATAGCTACTTCCCCATATGCCCTTTTTATTTCAAGCTGAAAAAAGTTAATGTGACTCTTTTAGGCACAGATCAGGGCACAACAGCATCCAACTCACTGGCCTTGCCATTGGCCAGTGATCAGACAATTTATTCAGCTGGGGATACTCACAAATACGGGATGTCTTTGTGTTATTCAAGTGTGTTTAAGTAGTGTGTCATATGCAAGCATATATATTCGTCTGTAAGTGAAATTGTGACATTGTAGTGTATGTGTGTGTCTGTATTATTGCTCTTCTGGGTATAAATGGACACAGCACTTCATCAAGTCTCTTTAGTTCTTCTGGATGTGCTCTAATACAATTTCACACTGTTGCACTGACCTTATCTGTACTGCTTTGACCCACGAAATTCCACTACACTTTGTCCCTCCCAGCAGGGCGACGTATGAATGTATTACCACAACACAGTACACTGTGATTTTAGAATAATTCACCATTCAATAATTCTAACCTTGCAACCTCTTTTTTTTCTCTCTTCTCTTTCTTTCATTTAGTGCTCGAAACGGCAAAATGCGAGTGCTCAGCTTCAAGATGGGATTGGTGAGCTTGTGCAATGCAGACGTCCAGGAGAAGTACAAATGTGAGTCTGATGCTTGCTCATGTGCCTAATGCATCTCCTCATCAACAAACAATGAGCCAAAACAAAACGGCAGTGATTTCCAGTATTACATAAAGACATCTACTTAGTCTAATGGAGGAAATGACTCTGCTGCCATAATGGAGAAAGCTTTCTTTACTTCTGCAGAGTACACCAGGGGCCTTAAAAGGATTGCTTGCCAAAGACACCATTCATGAACACTCTCGTTCTATCGCTCCGACTCTCATTTTTCTACACAAGTCAACTAGCAAAAAGTGAAGCCCCCTTTCCTTTTCTCCTTTTTCTGAATTATGCTGTCAAATTTTATTAGTGCACCGCCTCAGTCTGGGATATGTTTTTACTGATCTATTATAACCCCAGTTTACAAGTCATCCCGCTAATATCCTGTAAATATAAGGCTGACGATAGTTGAACCTGGAACAGCTTGTAGTTGAAACAGGAGCTTGGACAACCCATGCCAGGATTATTCATGCTTGGCGCACCATCTGTGTCAGCTCTTAAAGACTGAAAGATACCAGATTAGTCTTCAGTTGAATGGTCCCTGAGGTGAGTCAGCCTGCTTTTTCTGGGTTCAGGTAGACATGTGGTGGCCTCAACAGTTTGTCATTTCTCTGAATGGTCCCATTTTTTGCCAGCTCCAGACGTCACTGGAATAATATTTGCAAATAAATCTGCAGCATGTGCATCAACCCGCTTTGAGATACAGATGGTGGGTGTTTATTTCATCATCGCCAGTCTTTGGCTGTAATTCAGGAAAGAAATATGCTTGTCATTACTTGTTATTACTCCTCCAAAAGTAGTTTAATTACTTAATAGTAACAGTGATTTTTGATAATATCAGAAAAACGCTGTTTTGAAAACATGTCTGGTCCTCCAAAATTATCTGGCAAAATCTATTCTTAAAAAATTTCAAGCAAGAAATATTCCATATAGTTGCAGGGTATGACGTTATTTTATATTTGCTGTACTCGTTGTACATTAAGTTTTGATATTTCTAAGAGATGGTAAATTATCAAACAAACTAAACTCCAGACTGAAATCATGTTGAGAAAACTGAACTTACAAAATGTACCCCACACTGGATTCACACTGCTAGTTTCATTTTACATAATCTTTCAAAACTGGACAAACTCAATTATGTCACTTTTGTGATGTTTTAGCTACATGACCTAGATGGCAATGTCAGTCTTTCAGCTTGTACAGTCTATGTACAGTCTACGGTACAGCCTCATAGCCATGTCAGCATGGCTGTAGTCTCATGCCTGCAGGTTATTCAGTAACGGATAACATAACTGACCCATCAATGTAGTAGTAACTGATGTACAAATTTTTAAGGGCTTTCTAGCTAAAACTGTTTGTGCAGCCCTGATTTTGTAAAAAGGTAGTTTCATACTAACTAGTAATTACTGCAAACATATTAAAGCCTTCACAAACAAACTTAGTAATGTGTTCAGAAACTTTGTGGCTTGTGCAGCCAAATCCAGCAATACATTATCTCATTGCAGCGTTTGCAACATTGCAAGCTGCATGTTTCAGATGTAATAGGGCTATATACTGTCTCCATAAAACACATCCACACCTCATCTCTATCAAACAGCTCAATGTGAACGTTTAAAATGTCAAACACGCCTCAGCTGTGGTTATGAGGACTATATACAGGAGGCTGTTTAACATGCAGGTGTTAAAGCCAAGTGTTGTCCCTGTAGGGTTGAAGAAATACACAGAGAAAGGGGTACATGGGATGCTTACACTGGCATTGTGCTACACCCTCACACGCCTGTCAGCATTCATCTCCTCGGTGACAGGCAGAGTCCTAGCAAGCCTGGTAAAGGCCTCATTGAGAACCTGACAAGACTCCACTTATGCAGCTCTTTCATCTCCGAGCAGACCAGCCAGACCACTAATAGTGATTCTGTCTCTGTCTATATGTCACTGAAGTGAGTTTTATTCCACAAAACTGAGTTTGGTAAGCTTGTTGCCTCATTGTTAAAAAAATTGATGAAAACCAGATGTGTTGCGGCTGTATTGACAAACTAAAGCTAATAATTTTCAGTGCCATCTTTTAAATCCTGTTTGAATGTCTGGAATGAAATTCATTATTTACATTTTGAAAGGCCCAGTGCATATAGCAGTAGCCTACATACAAATGCTCTAAATCAACATATATAGATGTGTAGGGAAAATGCAGATATGATGATAATACAAATGCAAATAACCGTTTTTCATGCATACAAATGTAGTACACTATCAACGCTGTTACACTCTGTTGTATAATCAGATTAGTTACTGCATAATAGATGCATAACTGTATTTTTTGCAGACTTATTCCGTCAGGTGTCTGGTCCAGGAGGTTTGACAGACCAGCGTCACCTCAGCCTGCTGCTCCACGAAGCCATCCAGATCCCCCGCCAGCTGGGTGAAGTTGCTGCTTTCGGGGGCAGCAATGTGGAGCCGAGTGTCCGGAGCTGCTTCCGCATGGTATGGACACAGTCACATACATGCATATCACACCTAAATACATTCACAGATAGTCAACGATGCACAGTTTTGCTGTGCATATGAATACACACAGTATAGACAATGAAAACCTACTTATCAATGCTATTACAGCAGGCTGATGTATCTCAAACCTGCTAATCTGTTGATTAATCTGAAGGATAATAATGCCTGACCTTTAAATAATCAGAACAGAACTTATCTGTGCCAAGACAGTATTACAAATACGGAAACAGGCCAAAACTTAAAAAATGATCTGCTTAATCAAACATTTGCTTTTGGACGCTCCCCAGCACAAGCCAGGTACCAGGAAGCTGCCAGCTTTGAGAAGCCTCTTGTGTTTCCCTGACATAAGCAGAGTTCAACTTTTCCTACAGAGAAAGAAGAAGTTAAATGCACCATCTCAGGAAATTGAGAAGTTATAATTATTCTACCTAAGGAAGCCCTAACTGCCTTACAAACATTACATCACATTAATATTGCATTGCATTGCATCTAATGTACATAAAATACAGTCAGTGGTAGATAATTCATGAAGTTACTAACCATATATAGACTGTAGGTGAAATCCAAGAAGTTTAATTGGGAAGGTTGCATATATAATATGGAATATATTGGAATATTGATATGATGAAAGGAGGTCAGTGCAGTAGCACACAGGGCAACAGCTAATGAGAAGACATGTTCAAAGCATTAATTAATTTAGCTTTCCCTCCTTTGCTTATTCTAAACGTGTCTGAACTTGAATGTTTGCCGCAGGTTTGTGGGAACTTTACCACATGACATTCAATTTGAGGCGCCAGATAATTACAGAGTTGTTAGAGGCAGGGCAACTTTTTTTGAAGGTGGACTATGCAAAGCCTTTTAATTCCCTCATTTTCAAGGAAGATCCTAATGATATACACTCTATTCTGGTCCATGCTTGCTGTATCAGCTACGGCTGATTAAAATCAGTTCCTTTCTCGATTTGCCCCATGTCAGGACATTTAGTTGTAGATGAAATATCCATGTATTGTGAATTGAGGGGGTGGCCCATTTGCCCATTTGCCAGGTAGCTTGGAAATGAGTGACATCAGTTTTTGGAGATGTGGCTAGGGCAGCTGCTGCCACCTCACAGAGATACTGACAGTTTGACTCTGCTGGCGGATGATAAGATGAAATTGACTTGAGACACAGAATATTCAGAGTAAGGTAGTTATACAGAGAAGTATGATATTGCTGAAGGTGTTATGGTATGTGCAGAGGTTATTAGGGCCAACAACTAGCAGAATAAATAGATAGATAAATAGATCCATACTTTGTGAGTAGTGTTGTACATTGATTCTTATTTCACAAACATGTGCTGTTTAGTGGAAAGATGGTGCAGAAAGCAGCAGTTTTGATGGATAACTGAATGTTTATCACTCTATTTTTCCAATGATGTTAAAAGCGCCCCATCTGCTCAGTGTGCTGTTTTGTGATGCAGGAACATGCTCAGCATAGTCAGAGCCAGTTCCAGGTGTTCAGTATGCAAGGGGCTGCTATTTGACCTCCCTCATGGAGCGATGCTGGCTACTCCTCTACCAGAGAGAAGCTCCTTCATCCCCGAGAGACTGTACACCATCACAGTCTGTATGATCCGTATGCACACACACACATTTATTATGCTACTCTGCTTGAGCGGTGGAGGAAGCCCCAGGGAAATCAACCTCTTAATGCATCTCTGATGCAGACTTAATGAGAATTTAGCACATCACGGATTTTCAGCGCTTGGCGAGTCATTCTTTTATTAGGTTGACTTCCTTTTCATCCCACTTTCTGGAATTCTCAACAAGGTGCCTCCGGGAGAGACGGACTGCATGCACACACACAAACACACGTACAGTATACACAAAGACACACAGGTTTGTGTCTGCTGTGTTTTAGCTTTATAACTGTTTAAGTAGTCCCATAAAAGCAAAAGATATCCCACAGTGTAGTACATCTTCTTTCACCCTCTTTCCTTCTCTTATCTTTTGTATTCTCTTTGATTCCCTTTACAGTAGCTCACTGCAGGACCACCTTTGGAAAGGAAGCGCACCTTCTCCTCTCATTACTTTATGTACCTGTCCTGCTGTTGGTCTATATTTGGGTTGTTTACAGTCTCCTGCACTCCCCACCCACCCACCTACCTTCCCTTTCCAGGCCCCAGGGAAACCTGCCATTGAGGTGTCTCACTTCTTGGAGTGGATGAGCCTCGAGCCCCAGTCGATGGTTTGGCTGCCTGTCCTCCACCGTGTGGCTGCCGCAGAGTCGACCAAACACCAAGCCAAATGCTACGTCTGCAAACAGTGTCCCATCAAGGGCTTCAGGTGGGTATGCCTAAACAGACACGCATTCAGATTCTATGCACAAAGACATATAAAGCAATGTTATATGACATTAAAGGATTCTTCAGAAATCCCAGTTGGGAAATTAGGCTTTTGCAACATCAAACAAAATTAAGAGATTTAGTACACAGAATAGGAAGGCTATTGTTAAGGACTAATACTGTATATATACATACACAACCAACAACAGAAAAAACACTAAAATAAAAAAATAAAAATATAAGAAAATTGGAGTTAAAAAGTTAAAATTGTTTGGAAGTAGTATAGTAGTGTATTATGTTTTTTTTTTTCATAATTACAGTTTGGTAATTATAAGAATAAGTGTAGTACTTCTGGGAATATTTTAAAAGTGAAAAACAGAAGCAAATAAATCAATTTTAATAGTGGCAGCTGGTGTTTTCTGTTTTCATTATATGTAAGAATCAGTGCTCATCAAAAACAGGTTTGTTGTGAGACGTTGAAACTAAGAAAACATGTGGCTGTAATAGAGTACAGCCCTGTCTGGACCAGAGGTGACAGCATGCATGTAGGCAAGCATATAAATTGAATACACACACACCCTACCTCTCCGTCTGTGGGTCTCTGATATCTTGGATATGTCTGTTTTCTTGCAAACATCAGTTCAGCCTCTCTGTTATATTGATCTTGACAGGTATCGCAGTCTGAAGCAGTTCAATGTGGACATCTGCCAGACATGTTTTCTAACCGGCCGTACTACTAAGGGAAAGAAGCTGCACTACCCCATCATGGAGTACTACACCCCAGTAAGACAAACATTATATAGTGCTTTAGCTGAATACAAATTTAAGGCTCCAGGGACAAATAAAACTCAGCTGTTCTCAAAAATATACTATTATCTCCTGATTCCTGCTGCCAGGCGTAGATTAGTCACCACTGCAGTGTAATCTCTATCATCTCTAAGTATATACTGTTACGTATGCTTACACTGCTTCATCCAGATCTATATAGTATGCAGAGATTGAGTACCACTCAGCAGTAACGTCCTTTTTGGCTACATAGTGCACACATAAAGTGCTATTTGGAGCACACATTGCGCACTAAACCCCAATAAAACCCGGGCCTTAAGCGACTGCACGCACAGTCTCTGAAGTCGAGTTCATTCCAGAGGAGTAGCTGTAGCACTATAGCTGGAGTGCTGAAATGTACTGAGATGGTGCCAGATTTAATCTCTAATCAATTCTGAACTCTAAATATATGGCAAAAGGCCAGCTGTACAATGATTTTTCTTTTCACTGGACAATATTTTACATTAGCTAGATACAGTTTTTCACAATGGCTAGGCAGGCGGCCACAGATTTCTACTGTGATAGAGAAGGAAGGCGCTAGAGAGCATGAGAGAGAGAAGACAGGGACGATTTGAAACAACGTAGAAAGGTAGCAGAAACTGAGTGAGAAAACAGATAGAGAAATAAGTTAGTGAAGTTAAAGTAAGACAAACCAGCCTTGAGACAGAGTGGAGAAATTTCAGATGAGAAAGTAACATTTTCAAAAAAAATTGCAGTGTTGTAATTTGTCTCTCACCCATCCACTCCCGCCACCTCCGCCACCATCATACCCGTTCCTAAACCCGCCCCACGCCAACCTCCTCGACTCCTAAATCATTCTCCAGACAACCTCGGGAGAGAAGATGAGGGACTTTGCCAAGACTCTGAAGAATAAGTTCAGGTCGAAGCAGTACTTCACCAAGCATCCTCAGAGGGGTTACCTGCCTGTGCAGTCTGTGCTGGAAGCTGAGAGCTCGGAGACGTGAGTCCCACACGTAAACACTCAAACACAGTCATCTCTCTGTCTCCGCTTTGCTGTCGTCTGTCTCTCACTTTCTCTCACTTACACACATACAAAACCCTGCTGTTGTCGGCTAATTATCATGCTCTGACAATTTAGGGCGCTTTGACTCGCTGAGATGGGTTAAAGGGACAGCTCTGTGTTCAGAATTAACATAATGTTATTCCTGTGATCTCAGTCGGGGTCAGATGCTCTGTTCACATGAGCGAGTCTCAGCTAAAGGGAAAAACAAGAGCGATGAGACTAAAATCCATGAGATCATCAAGTAGCGTCGCTCAGGGCGATGATAGTAGCTATGAAGATTTAGCATGATTATGGGTCCATGTTTTGTCTGATTGTGTCACTAAGGTCACCTTTTATAACCTCAAAAAAACATTACACGAGTCTGTGAGTTAATCTTTTCATGTACTGACACGGCAGAGATGACACTCCGGCGCTGGAAGAAGCAATATGAAAATACTCCTTCACAAGTAAAAGGCCCGGCATTCAAAATTTATTATCAAAATGTACTAAGCATCAAAATTAAAAGCACTTGCAATACAGAGTGACCATTCTCATATTGTAATACTAATATATTTTTGGACTGTTATTCCTTATGCATTAATGCATTAGCAGCATGTAGCTGGTGGAAGTAGAGCTGATTTATTTTTGCACTGTTCTGTAGTATTTGTCACTGACAGGGGTCCCCAACCTACAGGTCAGAAGCTGTTATGTTGTGTTTATTTTTGACTTTATCTGACTCTTTATGTATTGTTTTTTTTGTTTGTTTGTTTGTTTGTGAGAATTATTGGATAGTTTTATTAAATTAAACAACCTGAGAAGGGAACATCACTCTTTGGTTGAACATCTGTGATAAAGGTGTATTCAAAATGAATTTGTGTTTATTCACCCCAAATAGCACCGAAATTATAGGCGTTATCAAGTTAGAAATGGATGTACTGACTGTGTCTGTTTGAGTGAGCCTGTATGTTTGTGTTGCCAGAAACTCTGTAATTTCCCTCCAGCTTCTCCCCTTTTTCCTCTCATCTCTGTATGTTCATATCGCAGATTGATAAAGCCCTGGGATACGTGTTGACTTTTCGCTCAAACTGAAACTTTTTCAACTCACACAGGCGTATCTTCACATCTTTCCTTTTGGAATCACACTGCTTCTGAAATTAGCTTCTTCACTGTGAAGGGTCACAGGCCAAAAATGTTGGGAACCAGGGATTTAATCAGTGAAATTACATCAGATATTTATGACCAACATATGTTTTATGTGTAAAATCTGCAAAGTAACTAACTTCAGTCATATGAGATAAATGAAGTAAGAAATACAATATTTGTCTCTGAAATATAGTAGAGGTCTAAATCGGCATAAAATGGAAATACTAAAGTACATCGCTTTCTTAAATCTACATTCCTTACTTTCCTTTGCTGTGAAATACAATGAATCTGAGGTTTTTTTTCTCCATCCTTTTCTCCATCGTTTTTCACGTTGGCAATAAGACTCTTCCTCTGGATAATAAAAATATGTGTTGCTTTTCTACAGTCACAGATTCACATTTGCAGTTTGAGTGTTAAAAATGTCTTTGCTGAAGTATTGACATTGTTCTCTTTTGTTCCCAGGCCTTGCTCCTCACCTAAGCTACCCCATGCAGACACACACAGCAGGATTGAGCATTATGCCAGCAGGTACGTGGCTCACTGCACTGTGCTATATATCAAATAATTACAACAAATTCTTTCCTTCTTTCACTTTCCTCTTTCCAAATCAACCCCCCCCCCTTCTTCTTTATACTCACTCCACCCCTGCTTCCGATTCTTCTCCTCCCCCACTTTGTCTGCTCCCTCACCCCTTAGTCTCCACCACACACTGATTGAAGTATTGATTTTGCTGCGTGGTGCACTGTACTCCAAACAGGGTAGAGACTGTACTGCCCAGCAGTTTCCCTCACTCTTATACTCCACCCAAACACATGCTGGCACACACAAGCAGAGCAGTTTGTGGTTTTTGTTTGTGTTGTTTTGTGTGTGTGTGTGTGTGTGTGTGTGTGTGTGTGGAGGTCAGCAGGGTTCAACATGCCTAGCGGCTTGTCACTTGCTAGGGCAGTGAGCCCATTGGTCACCTGGGAGCTGTCGGTGTGGATTAGTGTCTGTCTGACAGGTTATAAACAGGGCACAGCGCTGGACTCCCACACTCCTGGCGGCCCTGCCCACAGAGCTGCAGAGTGTGCATGGTACTATGTGTGTGCGTGCATGCTGGTAAGTGTGCCATTGTGTATTATTTCCCTAAGGCTTTTACACACAACTGCTTTACATCCTGCCAAAACAGAGGGAACACACACCAACAAGAGAGCAGGCACAATTGTCCTCTTTACCCCTCTTATCGCTCCTTTTTTTTTTTTGCCTTTCCTCTGTTTTCTGTTTGCCTTTTCTCTTTTAATTCTTATCTCTGATCCCTCTCTTCTATTGTCTCCCACCCACACATTTATTTTTCCCTCTTTCTCTGTCTCGTGCTCTCTCTCTTCTAGCCCTTTATTCTCCTCCGTTCTTTGATATCTGTTTTTTTTACATCTTCTTACATTTTCTCATTTGTTGCCAATTGCAGTAAAATTAGCTCTTGAGTCGCTCAGAAAAATCTTAACCAGCATAATACACTGATCCAAAAGCCCTCACTCAAATCAACCAGAAGAACAGAAATGGAAAGGTGGTCACGGAACAACGGTATAATTCAGTAAAAATGAGACACATTCACTGAGAAATTTTGTTTACCTTCCTTGACCTGCCGAGGAGAATGTCAGAAAAAGGTTGTTTTTTTTTTTTTTAGAAATGTCCACTGTATCTACTTCACTCATAACAAGCCTCTCATCTCTTTGCATGCCAGGAATCTCTGTTTTTCCTGCATAAGAAGAAATTAGTAAGGGCCTTTATTTGAGAAAATAACCTATAATCACTGGGCTATTCTTTCAGTGTCCCAGAATGATAACACTCCATATCTATCTTTTGGAAGCACCATATAATCAATTATTTAACTGTTAATAGCACATTATAACACATTATAATGCTTGATAACATAGCATTGTTGTATTCTTATTATGGTATGTCTCTATGAATTCTGAACACATTTATAAGCAGTTTTATAAGGTTATAATGCTGGTAATATTTTTTTGATGATATTTTTTTGTTTAAGCTTTTATTAACTGTTTACAAACATGTACAAATCATTCACAAGCAGGCTTAAAGGATATTTTATATTTTTCCTTAATGCCAACAAATTCCATTAAAATCCAACAATGTGTTAGTTCTTCTCTCAGATACTTTGTGACTTCTCAAGCCCATTCTTTCTTAATGCAGTTGTACATCTTAAAAAAACAAAAAACAGGTGAGGAATGTTTATTTTTATTTTTAAAAATCTGGGTACTGTAATTTTTAGCACACTTTACTCAAACAGGAGTAATGTGTGTATTTTCAGTGGCGGATTAATTCACATTTGCTGCTCCAGTGAGTATTTATGGTAGAAAGGCGGTTACAAATGACTACAGCTCTGTTATACTGTGTTATCAAACATTCATTAACTGTGTCTGCAGCTGGTGGATCGATCCCTGATTCTTCATGTCAGTTGGTCCTTGAGCAAGACAATAAACCCCAACGGCTACTGATGGTTAGGCCAGAGTCTTGCATGATAGTTTGCCATTGTCTGTGACTATGAATGGGTGAATGAAAAGCAAAAAGATAAGAGGCTGAGCGAACATGATTGCTGTATAAATGTGCCTTTATCCAAAATGCATTTAACTTGTATATTGTACCGTGTTTTTTTTATTTAGTCCCACTTTCATGTGTCGTTGATTGCGTTGGCTCAGTGACTATAAAGAAATCATACAGGCTTAAAATGAATGAGAATCAGCAGCACATTTAGACACAAGAAAAAAAATAGAACAGCGTGAGCACACTCCTTATTTTCCAGCATGATCTGAGCACCATCATAATACGAGTAGACAGTCCTTATTATGGCAATGGTGACTATTTTATCTGCAGAATGGACTTAAATCATTTCTTTCTTTCTTTCTTTCTTTCTTTCTTTCTTTCTTTCTTCCCTCTGCTGTCAGTTAATAAAGGATATAAAAAGAGAAATAGCATTTCTTATTTGAATTCACTCCCCACATTAATCATAACTCACTGCTCACTTTGAACACTAATGGAAAGTCAAGCCGATATCAAAACACTGAATGTCATCGCTGGCAGGTCAATGTCTGAAATTCTTTGCCTGGGATGACATATTAGATAGGTGTTTGTGTGGGAGTCTCTCTGAGTGTGTTTGTGTGTGCACGTTTGTGTCAAAGTGCCCTTCAGCCAATGAGGGGTGTGCATGTTTATCCGTAGCAATAAAATAGTCTCCACTCATCTTAAAAGGAGATAAAGTATTTGATGTTTGGGGTTAGGAAAGCCAGATTTGTAGGCATGTCAAACACAGAGACAGCATCTGTCCCTTCCTCCATCTCTCTCTCTCTCTCTCTCTCTCTCTCTCTCTCTCTCTCTGTATCCCTCGCCCCTCCCTCAATATTGATGCATGAGTAGAGTTCATTCCTTTCATCATCAGCACTGCTTCAACATCTTTGAGAGGATGGATGAGAAGAAGATAATAAAAAACCTCTCAGAGCTCTGTTAGGATTTCTCCTCTCTTACCCTCGCTCTCTCTCCCGTTTCTCATTTCCTCTCACATCCATTTACATTCATCCAAGAAGATAAACACACATGTATGCACAAGACACCCACACACGACTATTTCCTATTACTGTCTGCCATTTCCTCTCTCATTTGTAACTGACTGCGGCTCTAGGTTTGTGGAGTGCTTTCTGATGAGTAGTGTCGCAGATTGAATTACGAGCGGTCAGGTTCACAGGCCGGGGCTCTTGTAACAGGACATGGATGAATCCTGAATTTCTCAGTGTTATGGTCTCATTGGACACTGAAGAGAAATAGGAT